TTTTTTTTTTTTTTTTTTTTTTTTTTTTTTTTTTTTTTTTCATTCAGCACTTTAATCAGGTAAATTAACATGCTCAGCTGGGAGGATACAAGTCTTGGGTTCTGAACTGTCCTTGAAAGAAAGAATTTTTGAGGTTGTAATGAAGGATGTTGTAATGGGAAATGTGCAACTATTCAAGGGAGCAGAAACACTTTTTTCTGAATGAGTGTACAAATTATTCAGCTACAATCATCTCCATTGCTGTAGTATGCCCATGTGTAGTTTGCCCATGCTGCCTATAGCAAATGACTACTGGAGTGAAATTTTTGCAGCTCCTCATCCAAGTTTCATTTCATAAGGAACTAGTTGGTTCCCTGAAAGAGAGCTGAAGAGCAGCCAATGTGAACTGTTGGAGACCAGTATAGAGGACAGATTAGCAAAGTTGATTTAGGGAGTAGATGTTGCCTTAGATACTTGCATCCCAGAGTGCTGACTGTTTTAGAATTAGCTTTGGACCATCTAGCTGCAGCACAAAAATATGTATTTTTCTGATCCAAACTGGAAAAGACACAGAATAAAAGACTGGAAGAAGTAGAGATAGGAAGAGAGGAAATATAAAAACCAGAGGGCTATTTTCAGGGTGCTCTCTAGAGACCTAAAATTGGAGCAGTAACTCTGCAGGATCTCTACAGTCAAGGGAAGTATAGAAAGGCCTGGGGAGGGAGTGCATTAATTGGGAAAGGGCAGAAAAACCATTCTAGACATTTTAAAACTAGGACTAATGTCTTTGCACTATCTTCTGTCAATTATCTCAGTGTTTGTAGCATACCAACACTGCCACAGACTTAATATAACTACAGATACACCAAGGTATTTGTTCAATGACCGATGACTTGTCACGAGCTGGTGTGATTAACTCTGAGTAGCAATGATGGTACCTCCTGCACTTTTGAGAAAGGTGGTACATCTTTACAAGGTAGTGCAAGCATAATCTCTTCTTCTAGTTCTGCCACGCTAGAACACTATACAATTACACTGAGTTCACTACTCCTTTCAGTGCATTGTTTTGTTCTGTTCTGGGAACTGTCTGCCTTGAACCATGCTGATGTACATGTAACATTTGATTATCTATTTAAAATAAAGCATAAAGCAAATAGCACATATACTGCCTAGAGCTAGAGAACAAGATTCTGGAAAATTATTGTGTTTTCTCAATTACAAGAAATACTTTCAAGGAGGAAGTACATGCTGCAATCATCATCTTACCTCTTAATCTGTAGTAAGCTTGGTGACTGGCTAAAATCTGCTTTACGGATTCTTGCGGGCAAACTTTCACACCAGTTGAGAAAAAGGATGACCTCTTTGTTCGGTGTTTTGCCATGTCAAATATACGCCTTATGGTTGATACTCTGGACCTCTTTGTTGTTCTTTCTGTTTTGTCTGACCCTGAGGTGTCTGCAAGATGTTTGGCTTCACCATGGTTTATTTTATTAGGGATTTCTGGAAAAGAGAAAAAGAAAGCATGTGCATAAACATACATTGCATAGTCAGTAGGTATCCAATGCAAGATCATTTCTGGAAAATGAGCATGAACCTGAGAGTTCTTTTTATTACATTATAGTGGGGTCGATGCCCTGACTGAATTAATGTGCTGAGAAGTATCCTGTGATCATGTGGGGGAACTGGGACTCAAGAGACCTGGTAACTTATTTCCTTATATCTCAACATGTGACCCCAGGACACACAGGGTAAAAGTTTCAGAAGCTCTAAAACTTGTTTTCAGAAGTGAATTTGGGTTAGACCCACAAAGGGCGTTTAAGTGCTTGAATTTTGTGCTACACCATCTCATTTGTGAGCATATCACCCTGTAGGAAAATTTACACTACAGTGAGTGGTAAGTAATGGTCTGGAGCTTGGAGAAAGTGATGCATATCTGTATCAGCTTACAGTGTAAAAACTATACTAGCAGATAATTAAAATGAGAAATAGTTGTACCTTAGATCTGCACCCTTTTAAAATAGTCATCTTTCCTTTGGGTTTCAAGACACATGTCCTCTCACATCAGGTTCATAGCCTTGAGCCTGTCACAAGAATTGGACCCTGAAACACTGCCTATGAAAAGCTGAATGGGAGTTTGGGGACAAACGAGCTGTTCCCAGTATCCCTCTTTTACTCCACAGTGAACTCCTCTATAAACTGAAGAATTCAGCAGAAGATACTGCAATTATGTTTCTTTGCCACTGGATGACAGGTGTTGTGAACACTCTGGCATTGTACCTCAATAGATCTTTAACTATTCTTGGCAAAGGGGAATAGCTACAGTAGAAAAAAGTGAAACCAGTGAGTGGGAATTGAAGATATAGGTTTAAATTTTGCTTATGGACCTATTCAGTGATGAAAAATGGAAATGCTTCTAGGGTGTCAAATTAGCCTCAAACATAGCAACCCACATCTTAAAAAGTACACAAAAATACAGGACTCATTTGGTTCCAATTCTTAAGTATTTGTGATGCAGTATTACAGGACACAGCAGCTAAATTTAATATAAAAATGTTAATGATAAAAATAGCATATAAGGCACACATTTAAATGAGCTGAAATATGGCATTTTGCAGGATTGTGTGACAGGAGCAATTAGTATCTTTTAGATACAAATCTTCCAAAAATTTGCATACATATTAATAAAGATGTTAAAGATAATTTGGAAATATCTTTTTCTGGTTGCATTTTCATGCATTTGATACCGTCATTACACGTTAAAAATAATGAAAAGTGTAAACAGAATAAAAGTGTAAAATTTGTAGATAATTGGAAAACTTCAAGAGAGAAAATGTAAGAAAGACATGGTATATCTGTACCTGAATGTGGATGAATCAACTGAAAAACTTGCTTTGAAGAACGGTTTTAAAACTTGTAAAAGAAGAATAAAATGAAATGATAGGTTTCAAAAAGAACAAGATCAGCAGGAGTAATCTTTTCCAAAAAAGTAAGAGTAAAAAATTATCAATTTGCTAGAGAAAGAAGAAATGTCCTGGTGCATATAGCAATACTAAACACTAATTATCATGTTCTTAGGCAAATCAAGAGAAAATAAGGAAGGTAAAAACACATTATCTTGACAGTTTGGAACGGTGTTAATTAAATGTTTAAAGAAAAGTGGGCAGATAAATGATAAGAGAAAAATGATTGAAAAGCGCATTGTTACAAAAAGAATACTACTTGAAGCAAAGAATGGGAAAAGTTCTACCGTATATGTCAACATATATATATATATATATATATATATATATATATTTCTCAGTTCTTGTGTAACTTCAGAATGAACATCCAATGCTTACTATGTAGAAATCGTAATAATGCCGTATATAATATGAGGTAACTCTGACACAGAAAAAATGTGACTGCTTGATTATGATGAATATTGTATGAAAGACAGTAAGCCACACAGTGAAGGCGACAGGTGATTGTTATTGCTCTGTAAAGCATGCCAGAAACTGTCTAATTGTTGCGAGGTAATTTAAAATGATCATGCAGTCATATAGAGTTTGTCATTAAATGAAATGGAAGTATTTTTTACACAGTAATGGCAGATCATGAACCATAAACTGCATAAAAGGAATTTCCCCTGTGAAAACATGGCTCTGGGATCCATCAGAAACCACAAGTGGCCACACCCTGGATCAGTTGCGACGCTTGAATTACTTGAATGATACGTGAGGTGAGAGCAGAAGATACAATGCCATTGAAATCTCAGAGTAGACCCTGAAGTGCTCTAGAAGAAAATACCCAAAATCTACATTGAAAGTAGCTAGTTGCAAGTCTATTACCTTTTACAAGGTATATTAGCTGTGATGGACCAGCTGCCTAGGCATTCTGACCAAATGGGATGGAGGATTTTGTTGTTAAACTCTTACATAGCTTTTATATGGAGCAGAGGCCTTTCTCGAAGGATTTGCTTTTTCCCCTGGACTTACCCCTAAGTCACTAACTTGAATTAAGAATTATACTATTCACAAGACTTACAAATGAGATTCTTCTCAGATATTTGTTGTAATGATTTCAAACTCTCTGTGCTAGGCTCACTATTTGGTCTTTTCATTCTGAGAAAGTGACCATACATTATCTGCTTCTATGCGATAGTTATCACTGTTCTGCTAATCTATTCAGGGAAGGTGTAATCTATTTATTTATTTATTTATTCTTTGTGGGAGGGTTTTCTTGCTTAAGTATGCTTATTGTAATAGATTTAATTTCATTTATATCTTGTGGTTAGTAAATTTCCCTTACTAGAGTAATTTTTATTGTCATCAGTTCTTGAAATTTTTTACTAAAGTAATGCAAAAGTTGAATTGGAGAAAGCGTCAGCTCTTCTCTCCACATAATAGTCCAGTACTTACTTCCTAGTATTTACTGAACATAAATGGAAGACTGCCTGTCTTCTGGTACAAATATTATTAGTAATTCTTTAGACCTGTGCTTTCCCCTCTGTCTGCAGAAATTCTGAATTGAGAAATTTTTACCTAAGATTGCCAGATGGTTCAGCCATATCCTGTACTATAATATACCCCTATGTACAACTTTTTAGATGCTTTACTTTCAGAGTCCTGGATTGAAAAAAAAAATCTAAAAAGCCCCGAGCTGTTACGAAATTGAACCCATATATTTTAGTTGATCCCTTTTCTTCTTGCCATGCAACATATTAATTAAGTAAACTGGAGTGGTGAAAATTTTACAGAGTACATATTTTGATTATGTAAAAAAAACCCCAATAATACTGGGTTGGTTTATTTTTCTATAAATGCCAAGGAACATTACAAAATCGACTGGTGGTAGACTATCTCCTTCTTCGACACCATAAATGTTGCTTCGATTTTGAAGGCTCGTATTGCTTCAACATAACTGATGAATTATATTTTTGTAACTTTTTGTTTTGTTCTCACTCTCTTTTCTGAAAGAAACACCTGCAATTAATATATTTAATGTTTACCCTGTCCAATTTGACTTTTTTAATCTAATTCTTGTTCACAAAGGTGACTGTTTCATTTTTACCTTTAAAAGGTATGTTTAAGATTTATTCGTTTTCTTTGATAACGCTAGAGTAGAAGGGCAGATAACTGTCAAAGTCTGGTAACATTTTAGTGTGCTTTAGCTTAATCTCCACGGTGCCTTAAACAAAGCTGTAACTCTCCTTTGTTCTTAAATGAAAGAATCTGCTTCATTGTTCTCATTTTCCAGGTGCATACTTAAGGAAAAAAGTTGAAATAGTTTTATCAAGGTGATCTACAAAGTCACTGTCAGGCATTATTAAAATTCAGAGTTCCTAACCTCTAGTCCTGAATGTAGACAAATATAACAAAATATTTTCAAAAACCAAAGCCATTTTCAAAATATGATATAGGAATCTTATTTGTATGGGACCTAGTCAAACTGATCTGACATCCATACACGTCTCTCAAACGCATAGTACTGTTCTTCAGGGTGGGTTTTTTTCAGGCAGATAAAAGGTATTAATTTCTCAAATATCTGAAATCCTCAGAATTATGCTAGGCCTCTCTGTGTCTCTTGAGACCTGCATTATCAAATTTATACCCTCACTAAAAAAACAAGTCAGGAGAAACAGATTGCAAAAATGAGAGTTTCTATGTGTTTTTAATAATCTACATGATGGAAAAGGCAAAGTATATTATTATTTATCCGGATTCTAGAAAAAAAAAAAAGAGTTTAGAGCCATTCAGATAATTGGTCAGCTTTATTTTTTTTAAATTTATTGTTATAAACAGTAGCAAGAAGTTTGTATTCATACCTTTTTTTTTTTTTTTTTTTTTTTTCTGTACAGCTTTATTAATTTCTAACTGTTAATAGTATCAGTTTTGGGAGGTCTTCAATTTTGGTGTGGGTTATTTTAGGGTTTTTTTTCAGCAATGTAAGCAATCTTTGTGTAGGAACATTTACCTAGAGCATTAACTTTGTAATTTTATTTGACCTTAGAATATTGAGATGTCATTATATACAAAGAGAAGAATTTAAAATATGGTAACTAAAGGTTTTGCCAGCAAAATTCAAGGTGACATCACAACAAAACTGTTGAATTCTGTATAATTCATCATTAAAATAATCACAAGGTTTGACATGTATGCAAAAGCGGATTAGCCTGAAAAATGGGTGGGTGTTCTTAGGATAGAGAGGGATGCTTGATTGATTAATGAGACAACCCTGCACAATAAAATAATTATTAATTAAAATATAAGGCTTATTTAAGAGGAACTGTTAAAATAGGATGAGGAAAGCATATCAAAGACAATTACTTCAACAAAGGTCCCATAAATGTATTGCTGTGATTCAATTAAATATACAGCGGGGCCAACAGTCCCCATGTTGATAATTCAACCAGTAACAAAAGCAAGAATGACTGGTCATGGAAAGTTGATCTTTAGAACTTGGAAAGGGCTGATCAATGTCAACACCAGATGGAGCATAAAAAATACACAGAGAGGTAATAT